GGTGAAACTTGATTTGAGTTGATCAAATAATCCAAATCATCTTTTTTTCCCCTCTTTCCTTTTCTTTCAAACCAACGCATGTCTGTGGAAATGTTTGGTTTCATCCTTGATTTCGGGAAAATCCAAAATCCCTTTTCGTGAGTGTTTGACAGAACTAACCGAGGCCACTGTGTGGTTCTTTTGTGTTTGATTATTAGAATTAGAGTTCCCTCCTTGGTTCAAATCAATCCTTGGATGCTCAGAATCATGCATTTGATTGTTAACAGCACCCAAGAACCAAGACAAATGTTGCTTTTTGACATCTCAGATTCCAGAAAATTGTTGTCAGTCAACAGTAAATTTTATTTAATTTTTAACTAGTGACAAACAACCTTCTCTCTGGCACATATCTAACGCGTTGGACTTTGACCTGCAAGACAATCGTTTGGCTGTATGTGCCAGTGGATTGATAGGCAATCATATTTCCAGCGCACAGAGATAAACTTTCTCCAAATAAGGTCACAATGTCCACCAAGGATCGTTTTGGTCCTAACGCTTTTCACCATCCTTATTACATCTTTTATGTTTTTGTAGTGAAAACTACTCCTACTACTACCACCACCACCAAGTCTCCCCCTGGAACACAGGAACCACCAGGTACAGTCCATGTTGGGACCCTTACCGTTCAAGTTGAAGTGATGACTTGGGAGTTACCTCTGCAAAAAGAGAGAAGGAATGTAAACATAGCAGCATGTGCTTAATCCCCCCCCTCCTTACAATCAGCGTTTCTGTCTTTTGACTCATGGCAGTCTTCAGTTTCTTCACTGCACATGCATGTTACCTTTCCTTCATGGCTCCCTCTGAAGGCTGAGCTCTTTCACTGGAAGTCAATGTCGACTCTACAGGCTGACAGGTTAACATTTCGGTGCATGCGGACCCTTTGGGTTGGTCTTTTTTGTTTATAGGTTGAAGGAAAAATGAGTGCAAGCTTTACACATCCCGTTAATTTTTAAAAAATGTACACATAAGTGATTTAGACCATAAGCTGTTGATGGATGGATCAGGCTGTTTTAAAATAGCTTGGCTTGCGATGGACTAGGCCGATGACCTCTCAGTGCTATAAGCTAATGCTATGCCTGCTACACCAGTTGAGAGCTAGCTAGCAAACGCATACAAAAAAGCTTTCACCTTGGTTTAAAATCTAAGGAACCTAGTTTGGTTGCGTTGTCAGTATTCGAAAGCTGATACTGTAAAGTAATGGTCACAGATAAAGCTG